ATTTTACTTTTCTGCATTAAAGAATATGTAACAATTTTATAAAAGCAACAAAAATATTATTCATTCCTACAAAAAGATTAAACAACAACAAAAACTATTGGCATGAATCCCAGAAATTGGGCTCAATGAGGACATTATTAAAACCCCCTCCGAGACAACCACTAGAAGCTTAGATTTGTTTAGCAAGCATATTTTATCCTTTTATTTTATCCTTTATGATTGGGTAGGAAGAAATATAATTAAAAACTGGTTTCGGTCAAAGGCCCTGAATTCAAGGAACTTACATTTTAGGTAGAGAAAAATGTGAAGAATTTAAACAATACGAAGCAAGAGAGAAAGAGATGAATAAGCACAGCACAGACGATATTTAGTGCAGTGCAATGACCCTGGATGACACTGCAGCGGTAGATACATCTCATGGTACACCTGCGAGAACCCGAAGAACAGACAACAAGAATGACTCCTGGATGACCCCCGGGTTAAGGATGTACCTGCGTGGGCTCCCCAACTGTAGTAATAAATGTACTGCTGTGGTACTGGGTGTCAGCAGAGAAGAAGGTTGTATGTGTGTGGGGATGGAAGAGTAGGGGAACTCTATGTCTGCTGTGAACATAGCACTGCTCTAAAAATAAAGATTATAAATTGAAAGAATAAATACAAAACAAGTGAGAAGATAGTATATCGCTAAGGAACTTTGCAAAATGTTCTCAAATTTCTAAGTGCTGGGAAGATGGTGCAATGATTAAGTTGTAGGGTTGTCTCAAAAAATTTCACAGGGAAAGTTCTAAATGGGCCTAATTTTTTGCTAAGAAAAAGAGCAATGACCTTAAAACAACTGATCATTCAAGAAAAACCTATTTCCAGCCACACCTTCCGTTCTACTCACCAGATGAGGTTTCTGCTGCCTGGTTATTTGGTAGCCTCACCTTTACGGTTATTCTAATTGTCAAGGTCTATGATAATAAAAAGAGCCCTTGCAAACATTATCAGCATTTGTTTTTATGCAAACCAGAATCATGTCTTTCACCTAGCTTGATTTAGAAACAGGACAATGACTTTTCTGTTTCACTGTAACATCATCAGAGAAATACTATTTTATACAACAGTCACTGTTTGCTCTTCAGTCAGAGGCTACTGAGATATTCACGTTTTCATACACAACCTGATTTTTTCATTTGGATTTTGTTTTGCAATGCTGGCGAGCAAACCTGGGGCTTTGGACATGCTAGGAATATGGTCTGCCACTGAGCCACACTCCTCCTCACTCACATACTACACAAACTTGGCCAACGGCAAAGGCACAGAACAGCTACGGCAACACAGTGGGTTCCCACGCTGCCAACATAATCCTCCTAAGACTATGGAGATTATCCTAAGAACCAGAATCACTGAGGAATGCTGACTCCTCTTATTACCTTCTCCTCCTCCTGCTCCTCTTTCTTATTATTGAATACTTGGGGATTGAACCAGGGCCTTTATATTGCAATTCCTCGCCTTTTTTCAACTTCTTTAAAGACAGTGTCTCACTAAGCTACCCAGGCTGGGTTCTAACTTGCGATCCTCCATCCTCAGCCTCCCAGACTGCTGGGTTACAGCACACGCCACCATGCTTGTCTATAATATGCAGGCTCTGAAACTTTTCTTAGGAAGGCGGACATATGATGGGGCTTGGGATGATACCATATAGGACAGTTCCTTCACTGTAGAGTTCTCCGGAAAACAACCAAAGGCCCACTGTGTCTCAGGCTAACTCATTAGATTCCAAGACCCAAGTGAAACATATATATTAAATAGGGTGACTACACTGTAATTTGACAAATGAAGTAATTGTCAGAAATCAGGAAGTAGACTTGAGGAATAATTAGAAGTGGTTCCTTTTATCCTATGAGGAAAATTTCACAACGAGAATAAAAATTTAGACTTATACCATGAAGTCTAACCATACTGGATTTTGTTTTAGAATTAGCAGCTAAAACCTGAACAGATTTATTTCTGCTATACTTTAGAACTGTTTCAACAGATTAGAACTTATATACCACTAAGCTTGCCAATAGAAGACCAAACAAAAGTTTAAAACATCATCCTGAAACTATGAATTAGCTATCAGACTCAGGTGGGAGAAACACATGCAGGACAGCCAACCCTCTCCCCTCTGGCTAGTTGAGCGCTGTTGGATGGGGTCATTCCTTGGGCCTGGGTTTCCGAGTTACACATGGGTTCACAAAGAATGAACTCTCAAACACACAGGGTCACGTTGATCCAAGGAGAAATAAGTAGCTGAAACCTATAGGCTGTACCACTCATCTGTACTAATTTACTAACATATTTGATTACAAATTATTCATTCATTTAAAATTGACTCGGCACTCACTAAATAGAAGGGATGTAATGGGTGCCAAAAGCACCACAAAGATGGAGGGGAAGGTTACTGTTCCCAAGAAACTAACAACTTAGTGGCAAAGGGAGAGCAGAATGTACATAAATATGCCTTGCTGAGTACTAAGTATCCTGATTTTAATAGAGCATCAAAAATACCACTGTCTAAAGGAGACGTGAGTTGTCTGGAGATGGTTTTATTTAAGGCTCTCTCTTTCACTTTATTTTTTTTTTTCATTTTATACTATGAGGCATATACTGAAAGCTTAATAAGTACTACTGACTCTGCACAAAATAAGCCATTCCTTTCACTGTTTGCTAGGTTAGTCAGGCAGGCACAGTTCCTTGCTAGTAATAACTCGCATTTTATTTTTACAAGTTTCTACCTTAACTGACTTATTTTAAATCCCACAATTTCCCTCCTTCTGTTGTATACAGGAAAAGTCAGCAAATCTTCAAGCTGCTTACTCTCCTCCCATGTGTAACTTGTGTGCCTGCCCTTTAACACGTATGGTGGCCCTGTCATGTCATACTGTGCTACGCTGCTTCTCAGTGGTGTCTACAGGTGTATAATGTAGGATAAAGGATCTGACTCCCAAATTCCACCCAATTCGATATGCCTTGGCTTGTACCTTAGCTGTGTCATTTATGAGCCACCACCTTAACCATTCTGAGCCTCAGCTTCTTTAGCTATAAAATGAAAATAATTTTATTGCACAAGACTGAAATATTAAATAAGGTGACATATATCAAAATATCTAGACTACTGCATTAAATATGGACAGTGACTATGATTTCATGTCTTCTTCCCTTTATTAAAGTAGCTTCATTATTTTTACTATTCTGTAGTCTACCACAAAACATGTCAAAAAGAGCATGGTGGTCTCCCTTATTACCCTTTTAATTTGCTCACAAGTCAACCAAAATAATCTGGCAGCACAATTTTGAACACATGAAATGATTCGCAGTGTGCAGTATTCCCTAAGATGCAGCTTGTAGATGATCCTTTATATCTTTCAGTTCACTCTCAGTGTAAAAAACAATAAAAAAAAGTTCTCATTTTTATCACCTTGAGTGTGAACTTTAAGCTGAGACCAATTAGAATATAAGCAACTCTGTCAGAAGACTCTATCCCCGAAGGGTCCTGGTAACACCACGCACTAAACCATCCCGTTAACTTCCAGTCCCGAAGTCGGCTAAGTGAGAAGAGTGGCCCTGCTCCCTTGAGTCTTCTGAGGCTCAGTATACAGCACTGATGTTACTGAAGTTGGAAGTAGACTGTTTGTAACCCAAGGCCCACTGTTTTGCTAAACCATTTTCTGTACAGTAACATGATGCTGTTTTGGATGGAGATTATTCTCTGCATGTCATCCTCCCAATATAGTTTTCCATATCAAGAGATACTTATAATATCCAGAAGACTAGAAAAAAGCATAACAGGGTGTATGTATACATTGTTATACACAAAGACACATGGGTATATTTTGGGCCAGATATAACTGTAAACTTATTTAGCCTTAGAAATAATATAAAACAGGTATCTATGTTATAGTTAAGTAAAAAATAACTTCTGCTTTTCTAGAAATCTCATCCAAAGATTTAAAATTTATTCTATGACTTTTTATTGAAAGTATATTCCAAGGAATTAGCAAAATGCTTGGCATATAGCAGATAATCTACAAATCTTTACCAATAAATAAATACATTAAAATTTTGCTTGGATTTTGAAAAAAAGAAAAAAAAAAACAAGAATGATCTTGAGTTGCTAAGAAAGTAAGTGGTGGGTGGAATTAGTAATGAGGTTCAGGTTAATAATGTTGTAGTTTCCACCAAATCATTTGACAAACTATTATTAGGATACAGATTATTATCTTTACCCTTATTGACAGGTGAAATAAACAAAAGAGAGAAACGAAGCCATTAGGTCTAGGCCATTTAGCAAAGCAGGGTGGTCAACAATTACAATGTTTAGCTCAGGATATATTTATTTTTGTCTCTTTAATTTTCAGACTCCTGAATTCTGTTAGGTCCATGATAAAGAGTTGAGATAACATGGTGCTGACTCGCTGCTGACCGGCAAGATGCACAGAGTACATCTCCCCTATTTCTCAGCAATTTTACACTACTTTTTAGACAGGCACTACTATCTCAAGCAGTACAGACCAAAAAACAAAAACAAAAACAAAAAAAACACGGAACAGTTTTTGTATTGCAATAGATCCCAATGGCAATGTTCTCCCACTTCAAGGGATCCTTTCTAAGAACAGAATTTTCCCCAGTACAACACAATACAAGAAAATGAAACCTACTTACACAGATAAAACACCACACACTGCACAGAATCAAGACTAGGTACAAAATTATTAATACATATTTAAGTCTGTCATCTTTACTTTTTGTTTTATCCAAGAATATTTATAAATTTAGATATAAGCTTAAGATCATTCAGTTATACACTGTTTCCTTATTTAGCACTCCTTTTGGTTTAGATAAATGGAAGGATGTTTCAATTTCTTTGTTCAACAACAAAATTCTGAGAATACTGGATAATTCATAATCATAATGGATAATTCAAAAGCATACATCTCTAAAATGTTAAATGTTATGGTCTATTGAACACTCACCTAAACCAGACTTTTTTAATCGTTTTAAGTGCTGACTTGTTTGTTTTCCAGTGGGAGATTTTTGCCCATGTTTCATTTCTTTATCTGAACTGTCTGCTTCACCATTTTTAGATTCGGATCCTAAAAAAGGAAATAGTTATCATGCCATTATCTTACTCTCACTGCCCTTGAAAAGAAAAATCTAAAATTGTTTTAAGAACCATAGATACAATCTTTTTTCTAAGAGTTAATATACTACCTTTGGGCACAATCTGATTCCCCTTCTGGATATAAAGAGAAAAGCCCAATAAATCAATCAAACAGGACAAAAAGCAAGAACAGATGGCCTAATAGCAGAGTCAAAAACACATTCACTGATCTGATAGCTCTTAAAAGAAATAGAGTCAGGTCTTTTGTAAAAATACACGAATAAGCTTGCACAATGAAATGTCATTTAGAGACAATACAAGATAGAGACAGAAAGAGGAAGGAAAGAATCTTGAAACACAGAGATCAGAGCTTTATAAAAACTTTATGTTGAAGCAGGGACAGAAAATGCAAACATTACTCTATAAAAAACAGAATGGTACATAACTGATAAAGTGACAGGAGGTAAATTAGAAGAAAAGGTCAGGGTGCACTGAGGTGAGAAGAATGTTGCTAGAACACAAAAACTAATAAAGGATTCCAGATTCTGCACTTGAGGACTGAAAAACAAATTCACACTCATGCAAGAACTGCCCTGGATGGTGTTACACATCAGCATGTGGTCTGCCATTAAAGTTCAACATTCAAACAAAAGGCAAAGCAACAGCAACAAAATCCACAAAGCATCACCACACATTTTCTCACATCTACTGACTTCATCAGATGTGCAAGCAAGCTAGTGCTTTTATCTAAAAAACTAGAACGTATTATTTTTGAATCACTGAGAAAGTCAAAGATGAAAAAAAAAAAAAAAGGAATAAACCAAACCTCAAGTGAAAGGATTATTTAACCTCAGAAAGAAAAAAACAACTCATGATATCTCTCTTCACTGAGGAAGACGCTGGCAAGAAACTGGCCAAACATACAAGATTTTAGCTCTTTACCTGACGGCGAATCCGACTGCTCATCAGACACCTTTAAGGGTGTCAAAACAACACGAGGGACAGTCTTGTTTACCATCATTGAGACTCCATTTCTTCTTTTCTGCTGCTGTCTCAAAGCCTATAAAACATGATAATAAAATATAAAAAGGTAGGCAACATGATTTCTCCTAAGTAAATGATCCGCTTGCCCACCCTTAAATAAAACCTCTTAAAACACTTAATTGCACAGAGTCTCTAATCTATCAGGATTCTCAGTAGTCACCTTCGTGTCATTTTCCCTCAAAAGCATAAAATCACACTTTGGCAAGGGGTATAAGCTTGAGACCATTTTTGGTATAATTCTGACAACAAAGCAGCGCGTAACGTTTGTTCTACCTTGGCAGTGCGGCTTGAGAGCCCATGGAATTTGAAACTATGACTTGCAAGTAAAATAAATGTAAAATAAATGTTTCGAAACCAGGATAAAAATATATGTGTCTGCACTTCTTCTGCAGGTGCACTGTCTCCAGTGCACGGCTCAATCAGTTAACGCCGTGTGTCATCAGTATGTACAGCATGTAAGAACTACAGTATTGATGCATTCACTCAGCCGTGGGGAGCGCTGCACAAAATCGCTGAACATGGCAGGAATCATTTATTTCTGTGAAGGGAATCAGTCCTAATCTTGGAAACCTTGCAGCACTTGGCTTCTGTCTGCTTGACTTTGGGCATTAACCTTCAGAACACGAACATGACGGGGTTCTGGCAAATCCAGGAAAAAAGAGATACCAGAATAAATCTCTCCAAATGGGAGTGCTTTGTGTTTCATAAAGGAATCCACTGTGGTGATGATAATGTAATAAAAGACATTTAAAAGTTTTGAAATACAGCTTTATCTAGCTGATCGCTTTATGCAGGAAAATTACCTGTAATAAAAAGGGTCTTAAGCACACAAAACGGAAGAGCCATTAAATTCACAGTCACAGGAATGCTAAAACTCCTCAAAAGGTTAAAAGGCTGGCCACAGACTGTCGCAAACCTTTTATTCCTCGTTTCTGTGTAATTCCTACCAATTTTACAACAGCTCCGTTACTTGATTAATGTTCTTTGACTAACAGTTGTCAGAATCTCCTGAAATACTGCACTGACTGTACTCTGCCTTGCTGTCTAAAAGGATGTCATTTTATTTGCTCAAAGTATTAGCTGAATGTTCAACTTGTTGACCATAAGATTTAGCAATCAAATAATTGCAGAAGTGCAAAATTAAATATCACTTAAACAAGCAAAGGCTTATTCAGAGGAGATTTCAAGCCCAACAAGGAAAGCAAAGGCTCAGGAAATCTACTGCAAATGACATGATTCTTAATGATAACATAAGACATGTTCTTTTGGATTCATACATTTATAGACCTTTATAAAGACCAGGCACTGTGGGCAGACAAAATATACAATGAGTAATAAGATGTCATCGTTCTCATTTTAATAATGGCATGTGTGCTATAAAATATTTAAGACATTTACTCTTCCTTCAAGGTGTATACATTATTGCACATAAACTGTGCACATACTTGCATAAATCTCTCTAGTCTTGTATAAGAACTCAAAGCACTTTATAGGCATTAACCTAACAATCCAGTAATACAACAGAATGAGACAACATGGTCCTTTAAATTACAATTAAGTCCATCTCTGCCCATGATGTAAGACTTTACGAAAGAAAAAATGCTGCACAAGCAGTAATGAAGCTTAGGAGTCTATGTGCCGTACATTTCAATTGTTTCCCTTGGCAAAACATTAGGCACTTTAAAAATGTTTAGTGTGTGTGTGTCTATGTGTCTCTGAGTGTCTATACATATGAAGTTAAGAGAATTTATTAGAAAATGTTAGTTAAAAAAAATAGCTGATATAACTAGCGGCTTAAAATCTGGAATGAGAAAGTCAAAGCGAGCCTTTCTTTTTGGAGCATTTGTGGTAAATAAAGTAACAAAATTTTGCCCTTAATTTTAATAGCTGAGAAGACTACTACAGAAAACTAAACAAGAACAAAGCATGACAGACAGAAGTAAAAGCAAAACTCCACAGCCACTTTGAATTTTAGTCAGGCAAGCATAAAGAAATGTTAATAAATATAAAGCCCATTTGAGTAAGTTTGTATTTTTTTAAATTTTTCTGAGACAAGTCTCCCTATGTAGCTTGGGTTAGCCTTTAAAAATCATTATGTAACTCCGGCTAGCCTTGAATTCACAGCAGTCCTCTGGTTTCAGATTCCCAAGTGCTGGGATAACAGACATGCACTGCTATGCCCAGCTGAATGATTTTTTTTCCTGACTATGTGTATTTCCTACTCAGAGAACACAAGAAATATTTATCAACACAGTATTTTTTAAAATATTGATATACAACACTATGTTCCCACAGGTGACCAAAACTAAACGCCCGTTAAATAAGAAAAATAAATGTTGTAAGCATATTAAAGGTACACAAACTTTTTTGCTTTACCTTTGAAAAATAAACATTACATTTATTCCTAAGTAACATCTGTAGAAGCAGACAAGGAACAATTGAATGTGTCTATTTCCAATGACACCAGTGACAGTAGGAAAGTGACCAATAGGCTACTTTTACTCCTGGTATAATTTATGTATTCTGTAAAAACTGCATGTTTGAGGACTTACTCTGTTGTACTACAGTGTAAGCATTGCTGACCCACCACAGTAATATGACAAAGTTTTAGTATTTTGCATTTTCAGGAAGGACTGATAAGGAAATACACAAACACAATAATTTTACACACAGGCAAGTACTAAGAAAATTATGCAGGAAATAAAGGAGAGTAACTGGCATGGAGGTAACAGACCTAGATTGAGAGGCTGAAAAAGGTATCTCTCTGGAGGTGACAAAGGAAATGATACTTAAATGAAAAGAAGGAGCAGCCATACAAAATATCAGGGTCATGAGTCAGTAGAAGGAGCAGTATCTGAACCCCTCGCAGGAATGATATGGGTGATTCCAGAAACAAGTGTGAGGCAGTGAGGCTACTAACAAGGACTAGGGAGTTTACAGAAATGGCAACAGACTTGCCCAAAACAGCCATCCAAAGTTTCTCAGAAATGAGCAGACGTTCCCTTGAAAAGGAAGCCCTGTTCCTCAGTCCTTTCCCCCATGGCATGACATTACCACACTCGCACTTCAGCACCAAAAATGGGAACCAGGCACAGACAAGGGAAACCCAGGCTGTCTTCCAACACATGCCTTTTGTTTGCCTTTATTCATTTATTCAGCTTCTATTTATATGGCTTCAGTGCATGAGACCTGTTGCATCTCACACATTAGTCATGTTGGTTAATAAGTCTCATCACTTTGAGGTGTCACTTCTTTAAACAGGTACTGTACATGCACGCCCTGTGCATTAGCTCTTCCGGACAGATACATTCTTTGTTTGGGAATCTGAGTGGTATCTTTCTGCCTGTACTTCTCGCTTTGTTCAGAACATCTTTTCCATTACATTCGACATTCCCATCACCCAACTGCTGTATTTTTCCTCATGGAATTATCACCTGCAAGTATACTATGAGATGCCATTTCTCCATCCCAGAAAGTAGACTCTACAAAACAGATTTTTTGATGTGTTTTGTTCATTAATATGTCCCCAAGTACAGTACACAGAAGAACACCCAGAATATGTAAGGTGCTCCATAGATACTGAATCCAAGTAAAAACTGTCAAAGTAAGTTTATTATAACAGAAAAGCCCTTTCTTGTCTCTCTAAAATCGATAGTTTATTTTATTTAAAAGGCAGAAGTCAGCATGGGGCAATAGTTAACTATCTTCTCACATTACAATTACTCATATTTTGACCAATCCCATTTTCATTTCTGGATAACATTTAACGTAGAATACCCGAATTCTCAGGTCACCTCAGACTACTTGTACAATCTCATTTCCAGATGTGACAGTATGAAGTCTTACTGATAGCTTCCTTCTGCACTCCCCAGGCCATGCCTATGCCTCAGGTCAGAAATTTCACTGAAGGGCTTTCTGAGTTTCTCTCTCTCTCTCTTCTGCCCCTGTATTTCCTGGGCTCTTCCTGACTAGAGCCAGGAATGACCAGTAAGGAGAATACAGTAAATTTGGCTACTGAGTACTATCACAAGCACAGAATCAGAACCTTTCAGGAAGCAAGGGGCCAATTACTAGCTTCTCACAGGTTGCACGAATGGATACATTAGATGCCTTTCTGGGGAGCATTAGAACCTATTACAACTCCCTGACATGGAGCATGTACCTTATGGCCAACCTCCATGACTCTCCTAAGCATAGGGCCCATGAGGCATAGTCAAAATATATGCTGATTGTCTGAATTTTAAAAACAAATTTATTACAGTAAAGAAAAACATATTGCCATTAATTCCCCTCAAGAAACTCCCCCTCACTTCAAACACACTTGTCCCATCATCCTTGCTACTTTCTGAAGCAGCTCTGGAAGTCCTCTTTCATGAGTGTTTCTAAGAGGTGATATCAAAAACAGGGAATGATGTTGAGCACTTAAACAGAAAAGCAGGCTCATATTATGGTGTGTCCCCATCCACCTTATTCACCAGATGTGGCACCATGCAACTTCTGGCTCTTCCCAAAAGTTAAATAATGAAAAAAAATGTCCTCAATCAATTCAGGAAAACGAGGCAGTCATAACAGCACAACTAAAGATGCAAAGGTACTTCCAGAACTGCTTAAGGATGTGGTAAGAATGATGGGATAGGTATGTTCAAAGTGAGGGTGGGTATTTTAAGGAAGATTCATGACAATATGTCTTTTCTTGTAATACATTTTTTAAAAATTTAAATATTCAGTATATATTTTAGTCGTACTTCATGTAGTATATACTTGGGCTACTTTACCAAAACAAGAAGCCTTCCTGGGCAGGAAGGAAGTCTTCCTTCCTCCAGGTCTTTATAAATGCCCTGTGCTTGGCTAATTGTTCAGCCATAATATAAGCAGCACGCTTGCTTCAACACACAGACTAGTTTGATACTTTCTGTCTCGTCATAATGGTCAATGCTTTGCCTTCAGAATTCTCCAGGCCTCATAGTCTTTCAAAATATAAGAATACAATGTATGGAATATTACATATATATGTAC